CATCAGTAGTATCACCGTTACACCCGTAGGTAGTTTTCCGTGCGAGCTCACCCTTGAAAGTTCACAACTGCCAGCAAATAATTTCTGTTTTAGCGTATAAATCCTACTAAACGTAACCGGACCAGGTAGAAACGAACAGAATAGCAGTTTTATTATCCTGAGTTTTACCAAAAACCAACATTCCAAAAATTATGATTTTATAGTGTTCGTTCCATTTGTCACATCGTTTTGCGTAAAAATTCCCACCACATTTTTTTGTAGAGCGATATGGGGGAAAGGAACTGGGGCATGCTTTCCTCCCATTACATTTGGTCAAGGTTGACTGGTAAAATCGCTTTTATGTCCTCGGGTAACCCCAAGAGACAGTGTGGCAACTTTGATGAATTTTCTCCACACAGCCAGAGTAACTTGACTTTGCATCCTAATGGAGTAAGGCGCACTTGTCTGTAAGTGATGGAAAACTTTGAAAAATTCATGTGCTACTAGAATCTATCCATCTGCCAACTACTAACAAGATGTTTTATCTCTATGTTAGATATAAAATGCAGTTTACATGTTTGAATTGAGAAACGCTGCTTTATACTCTTTGCTTGGAGTGTTATGGGCGACATCATTGATTAACCTAATTACTCGGATGCGGGTTTATATGACTTGTGCCCAAGACTGTGGATGCGCTAATCGACAGTGTGGCCAATGGCTGATTGGAAGGACTTACTTTTGCTTGTTGTGTGGAGAGTTGTCGGTGCATGAAGATCTTTCTTCGGCGAGCTGATCTGAGCAAAACTGCTGGCAAAGTTGTGGAACTAGGTCGTATCGGAGAACGAAAGGGATGAAAATTGGTAAATCTTGGAGGAAATGTGTTCCTTTAGGGTAGTCTTGAGTTATTGCAATTGGAACGTGAACGCTAGTCGATAAAAAGCGTCTCGAATTAAGTTCTTCCAAGAGAGGTAAGCGATGGGAGACCGCTGAATGACGATGAAGGATAGTCACGGAAGACATCTAATGAAGAGTGGTGGATGTGGGTCTGAAGGCTGGCT